TCAATATCTGATTTACACCACTTCTAGATGTAGCATATCACGTCTGAGGTTCCTCTATAAAAATATTAACAGCAGTTAATATTTTGGGAGGAGTAAAGTTTACGGATTGGTAGAACATTTGCTGGACCCAACAATGTCTTTTTGTAAGGATTTTATGAAGTTTAGGAATCCATATGTGCAGGGTAGAGCACACTCATTTACGTTGACAGGAATGTTAAGAGTATTAAAGACTGAAATGAGATTTTGAAGAATTCCATACTTAGAAAGTGAATTGTCAGTATTAGAGATGTTTCTGAATATGAAACTAATCCGATTCTGAAAATGAATCTGAAACGAATCTGAATCGGAGGACTTTCGATCCCGATTTCAAAATCAATGCATATTATATACTGAGGATATGATTATTGATTTTCGGATTCCTCTGTAGTATATCAATCTGTAATCGGCAAGAAAAGATAAAAGTTTGTGCCCCACCCCCACCACCATATCCTTGAAGTAATAATTATGTCAATGACGTATGTCGTTTATGGCTATTATGTTCGTATATTACATGTAAAAAATGGTGAAAAAATAAGACTTTATGAAGTAATCTAGTTTGATTTTTTTTTTTTTTGGGGGGGGGGGATGTATCTAAAATGCTAATAGTGACCCAGAAATTTTGTTCAGGGCGGGGAGAAGGACATACCTATAAATTCCCAAAAGGTGAGATATCGATATATATTCAGCAAGCATATAGCAACAGTTTTAAAAAAAAAGTCCTTACCTGTCCAAATCCTGGAATCTGCCGTTGCTCGACCTTACAGCAAAAAGTGGGGGAGAGGACAACCAGTCTCTAAATGAAAATCAACTATAGCAGAATACTATATTCAGAAAAAAGTAGGGGGCTGAACCCCCCACCCCCACGTGCACACCTGCGTTCTAGGGGCCTGTCACCTTTTACTTTTAATACAACTCGAATTTCTTTGACAAAATTTCAAACTCTCTCCAGCCGTGAAAAACACATTGATAAATCGGGGGGGGGGGGGGGGGTAATTTTCCTCAACCAGCTTACAAGGGGTCTGTGTTTCCTAAATGTAAATCATATACGGTGCCAATTCTGATGCACCAGATGCGCATTTCGACAAGTTATGTCTCTTCAGTGATGCTCATGCCGAAACGTTGGAAATCTGGGGAAAAAATACAGAAAAACTTTAAAGAGCTGAAAAAAGGGGTATCAAAGACTGGAGCCAAATACGTCAAAGGATCAGAGCTATGCACGAGGGAGATCATCCTTAATTTTGAAATAAATTTCTAAATTCTATCACTGCAATTCCGTGTTTTCAAGCCAGTACCGAAGTACTTAGCAGCTGGGCTGTAGAGAACCTCGGTGAAGGGATGGTAAGTTCATTTTTGCTTCCTATTTTACATACAATTTAATAACTCTGAGAAATCTGGAATACCTTGATACCTAACCCAACTTGATCGCTAATAAACTGTCGTCAAAATCTATGGTATTGCAGGCCAGTAATAACTGGGTGAGACATGGAGGTCTGTACCCCACTTTTAATAATTTTACCATTATTTGCAACACGATACAATCAGATCAAAATTACCGTTATGTCCCTAATTGATGAAGTCTTAAGACTTATTTTTGCAGTTGGCTCGTTAAAATTTTTTGGTTCAGTTGCGCTTCATCCTCGTATTGTACAATGTATATAATCATTTAAAAATACTTTTTAATAGTGTTTAGGACACGATTATCGCGTGGAACGATAAAGAAAGTAGATGAATAATACAACGATAATACTTTACGAGCATGTTTAATTTTCATTTGATTTGAATTGGTACATTCAGTCTATAGAATTTGAGTTGTCCGTCTTATAACACCTCCATCCAAATGACCAAAATCTAAACGCCATTCACTGATATTTTTTTTCATTGTTGTTACATTGCATTTTTTAAATGTCATATTTAACCTAGATACTTGCATTTTGCATAAGTGTTTAAATGAACTAGTTAATTCAAAAGGGGGAGAAGGCTCGAACACTTTTAAAATTTAAAATCCGTAAAGTCCTCTATCATAACACAGGTAAAAAATAAATCACACAAAAATATCATTAATCTTATACTATCATTTTTTCATTGTATAATTTAGAAATTTTCTTGTGTTTCCCAATCGGGATCGAGATCCTTCCGATTCATATTCGTCTCAGATTCAGATTCGATTCATATTCAGAAACATCCCTATTAGTTGGATTTCCAGACGTATAAACATTCTTTTCATAAAATGCAGTTATAATAATTAGCCTTACAAAACAAAGAATGTTGTTCCAAGCCTTGTCTGCTGGAACCATAACATATTGTTCATGAGTCTCTCTTATCACCTCCAATTTAGTGAAAGCGAAAGGATAGATGCTTCGAATATTGTCTTTCAACTTTCCTACACGATCAACATATATCTTAATCACTTATTCCATTCTGACAAAGCGTCCAGGTCTTCCCTTCATATTTACCCCAACTCCTAGCATAACCTTCAAAAGAATTCAAACATTTTAACTGAATTTGCAACTTGACCAATTACTGTATGCAGCATAGGCTTATATTTTTAATTTTGTGCAGCAATATAGTATTATAGTGCAATCAAAACTCTGAAGTAAATAATTTTGCTTATAAAAAAATCATAAACAAAATCATTAGGTTTTTTTCACGAATTTAGTAAAACATCACGATAAATTCCACTTAGCTCTATTTCAGAGGCAGGGAAAAATCGTCACATAGATTTTTTTCATTAGTTTCTTTCTAAATTACGATTTTCCTGAAATATTGATTGGAATCAATAATGTATGGCGAAGATCTTCATCACAAAGAACGATAACCCTTGAGTTTATTGCGTTCAATTTTTCTAAAAGTTCCTTGGATTTTTAAAAATCAACATCTGATTTTAAACAATTTCTTGAATATATTGTTGTACAGTACCCCTGAACTTTCTCCTTCACTATTGTTAATATCTTAGTGAGGAGTAAAGAAAGAGGCTTGGTAGAACATTTACTGGAACGCGCTATGTATCTTTGTTTGGAAGGATTTTCATGAAGTTTCGGAATCCAATATAGAGATCGTAATTCAAATTTATTTTGATTGTTGGATATGAAAAATATTTAAAACTGACATATAATTTTAAAGAAATTCCTCCTTAGAATGGTAGCTATGGGTATAAGTTGGATTACCACTAGCAGGATTATATCTAAGTTCCTCTAAATACAATTAAAATAATGAGCCTTACAAACAATGTTCTTACCTGCTTTGTCAGCTGGGACCAGTACAAACTGATCTTGTAATCTATCTAATTCTTTTTCACTTTTTCTCTAATACTGACAATTCACTTTCTAATCATCTTGCAAACTTCTTTTTTTGAGAGAATGTTAGACAGAATTTTAATTTGGGACGTATCTGAAGGCGTAATAAATATAGATCTCTTTTTAAGCCTCATAAGAATATCATGTTTATGAACCTGGAATTGGTTGTACTTTAGCTAATTTGACTTTTAAGGCCTATTTTTTTCAATGGAAAATTGTTGAAAGTAACTCATTTCAATAATAGTAAGCCCTTAGTCATGAAGGTGACAATCTGTTACATGTATATACCCCTAGAATAAGGAAATATGTTAGAGACGTTTTTTTTTTCTTTTTGAAATCAAATACAGTTTGAAAACGAAGTGGGTGACACTTAAAACGAATAGTTATTGGAAAGACACGCATAGAGTTTGGAAATATCTTAGAAATGTTTATCTTCCTTATAAAAATGGTTTTGAAAAGGGAACATATTGCCCACTCTCTCTCTCTCTCTCTCTCTCTCTCTCTCTCTCTCTCTCTCACATCAAAACCTTCAGAGTACTGGAAAAGCCAAGAAATGTTTATAAGATAAAATTTAATGGTAGATTTATTTAATTTCTTGTTATATTTGGATAAGTTGTAAGGTCCACACGCACACATACAAAACATCCAAGAAAAATTACTTATTTGGTCATTTTCATAATAAATGTATTAATTTAATTTCTATTTCAGTTAAAATATCTATGTACATGAATTGTCTGTTAATCGATGGAAACAGCAATCTACTAAAAACTTAAAACAATAAAAAAAAAATATCTCTTATTACATGTAAGAAAAAAATCATAATTGTTAACATTTAATAATACTTAGTCTTGGGTACAAATGAGCACATAATGGTTTTTCTAATGGACTTTGTAAGTTGACTGTTTTTATGCATGTTATTCATGTATTTCTCTATAAAATAAAAATACAATAATAGCAATGTAAAAATCTTATTTTTTCAGATTCATGAAAATGATGTGTTTAAATTTTAATTGTTATCTGAATAAGTTATCACAATACATTTTTGAGTGAGTTTACTATTGTTTACATAACAAATGCTACTCTTCCATTAATGAATGCAGCAGTTTGGTACATGTAGAAAAAATAAATAAATTCCTGCGTATTTTTATTCAATGTATTACATGTATTAATTTTGCCACAGACTTGTGTCGTATCATTAAAATCACATTTTAAAGTAATGATAGATTTCTTAAATTGATGCAATCAATTTATTCCTTAACAAGAAACCCTCAATTACTATTTAGTATCATTTCTATGCAGTGGATTCATGTTTTGTTTTGTTTTCATTCAGATCAAAATTTAATTTACTAAAGTTATCATACAATACAAAATTTCAAACATTAAATTTAGTTACAATCAGAAAGAAAAATATAAAAAAAAATCTGCTCGAATTTGTAATTTACTATTATCTCGTGATAGTCTTGTCTTGACTTTTGATTGAATAAACTGAGTTATTATACTTAAATATATTGAGTTAAAAGATTTTAAAAAAAACCAAAAAAGTAGGAGTATTCCCCCACTTAATAAATTTAAAAAGTCAACAAAAATTCAACAAGGCGTTCCTAACAACATTTTTTTTAAAATTACTTTTGTATCTAATATTTGTATAGTATAAACTATCGCATATTTTTATGCAACTTTTGGTTTAAACGTGTAATATATAGCGTAACCGCTAATACCGGAAAAAAATCGGTAAAACAGCATGAGTGGCACAAGTATATTTACTATATAGAGCCAACTTTCGCATCCAACAAGTTTTGTTTCCAGATTTCTCTTACAATTCTGCTTGCTGTAAGAACTTAAAATCCAATGATTCAGATTAGTCATCATGAGAATAATTCCTCCAGAGGAGATGAAAACGGAAGATTGTCCTTTGGGATGGTAGCGTCTGATTTTGATTAAAAAATGTGTCTGTAGAAAAATTTCCAGCATTAAAATAATACGAGTACACAGAAACGTCTGTAAATAACTAAAATGACCAGTGAATGCGGTCACCGTACCAAACATGTAGTACGCCATCGCTCCAGAGGAGCTCAGAATCAGTATGTACTCGTTGGTTGTCAATTTTGCTGGTCTCCAAGAGTTGCTGAAATATTTTTTCAGATGATAACTGCAAACATAAACAGGTAGAATGATGCAGAGAGCACTCAAGCCCTCACCGATTTGAAGTGCGAGTATAGCGTCGTCATTTTCCCAGTCAAAAGCAAATATTAGTAAAATTGTTGTGAAAAAAAATGGTAAATTCATTAAAATTCCAAACACTGCAGCAAAAATATGTTGTCCAATAATATGACGTCCTTCTACTGTAACAGGCATTCTATAATCAACGCCTCTCTTCAAACGCGTGTTTCTATGATCATTAGGTTTGTCCTTTATTTTGTCATTTGTTTCATAGGAGGACCAACTCAAGAACAACAAAATGAAACTCGAAGCAAGAATACAGAACTCCATTCTCTTTGGTAATAGGAAAGGTGTTAATTGTTTAGCCAGTCTCTTTTGTATATTGGATGTTCGGAAACAGTAAGACTCATTGCTGTATCTGGGGACGGTATTGTTTGCAGGATGAAATACATTGATATTACTAATAAATATATTAAACCAAATGACAAAATTTGCCAAAAGAATAAAAATGCAGGAAATGTTAACAAATGATGTTTTAAAAAATCTGGTCCCTCGGTAGTATGAAATAAAACTTAACTGAACAAGAAGAAACAATATTAAAATAACACTACTTAAGAAGGAGAAAGTCACCTCTATTGACCTTACAGAAATAGAATGTTCGCACTCGACATAGATCGCTGCATTGATGGAAATATGTACGATTACGGCAAATCCAAAGATCCAGAGAAATACTATTTTAAGATTCAAGGAGGGATCAGCCATGTTGGGTAGGTTTTTTCCATCTGTGGTCAGCTTATTTCTGCACGCAGCCAAGATGAGAATAATCAAAGAGATCAATCCAATTGTCACAAATATCATCGTAACTACCCAGTTCCATGTTTTAGCTTCATTTGAGTAAGCTTGGTCTGCTGCATTTGTGTCAATGATGACACAAACACCGGACACAAGGTGCACGAACAATAAGAAAACTACACTTTGATCATTACTGTGGAACCCCGATCCTTGCGTGACTGGAATGATTGGATGTCTCAATATTCTAAGTAGCTTTCCAAAGACTTTAAAAGCAGCCATGTCTGTGCACACCAAAAAGCAAAGTGTCCTGATGACATATAAAGAAGGAAGTGTCTCATCTCTTGATTGATTGCACTTGTTTAATTCCCAGTAATTAAACATCGGTAATTACAAATATTTATTTGGATAAAGCATGTAACAAGCAAATCTTCATTCTTTGAATGATAATCCTTTTTAATCAGAAAAATTGTTTTTAACTGAGAGATATTGCAGAATCAAACAAACGGAAAAGAAAACAAATATGCGGAAACATATTTCTGTGTAAATATCACCGAATGTGTTTGAGGTAAGAAAATGAAGGTTCGTTAAACAAAGATCGTTTTTTTGTTTTGGATTATTGAAACATTTTTTTACTATATTTTCTTGTGAACACAACTTTTGATTTGGTATTCTTTTTAATTTTAGTTTTTTGTCCTTGTTTATTTTTTGTGTATTTTTGGATTGTTTAATCGCTTGTTTGTATTCACATATCTTGTTTAGTATTTCCAACAAACAATTTACCATATCTATATTGCAGATTTTTTATTTTTAATTTTTAAAAAAAAAATATAATTTCTAAATCCCCGAAATGTTTTGTTCTTATTAAGTGATAAAATGCAATTGATAAAAACCCAGAAAATTCAATACTAATATAAGTTTTAGATAGTTTAATATTATTAAACATTGCATTATTCTGATAAAGATGAAACGGAATCCAAATGAAGAAAAAATCTTACACAGAAACGGGCGAAGGAATTTAATGCGTAATTTTCAAACAATATAAATTGTATTAATCTTATGTTTGTATGCACAAATATTGTTCGTTTGTTTGTTTTTAAAAATACAATAAAAAAAAACGACTACAAATCCACGTCTTCTCTTTCATTGGCATTTACAGTTTGTTTCATTTCATGTAAAAATGGAGGAATAAAACACATTTAAATGTGAAAACGTTGTCCACTTCAAAACCTGTTTCTAAGGTGTCAAATACCTCTTGTGTTCATCACAAATTCATAACTTTATAATAAGTATTTATAATAGGTAATAATTTGAATTTTATTTCTTTAAAAAAATTATGATCATTTATTTTAAAAAAATATGTTTTTTTTTTTAAATATTTTATTTTCAAACCTTAAATTTGTTTTTTTTTTTTTTTATCTCTGAATATTGCTGCAGGACTTCAGCATAAAAATTACATCTAAAACAGTGATTACAGTACAAAAATTCCCATAACTTTGTTGGGGCTGGGGACACATATCGCTCTCCAATCCAACCAAAACTATACAAGTAGTATTTAAAAAAACAGAATAGATCAACATGAAGCTGATAAGTGATTGTGAGGTTGAAAATGGCAAACATGGATTTTACAGTAACATGGAGAACCTTTGGCAGCTAGTTTCAGTCACTGCCAGAAGGATTTATCCAATCTTGTTATCTTTATGACGTATTTTCCATAACACTGTGAAGGGAAAATGATTTTGCCTCGAATTTGTAATGTAGACGTCTATGAAAATATCAATTTTATTCAAGGGTATTTCTAGGTTGAAGTGTAGTTAATGTCCCTATTTGCACTTTCTTGCCGTTTCCAAAAAAAATATCATTACGATTTTAATATTTTTTTTAAGGAAGTATTTAACTAACACTACTTGAGATTTTGTTCTAATAGTGCTTATATTACTTTGTCATAAGGAAATTAAATCCAAAATCTATCCCCAAAAATAAGCCGTAGTAAACCATTTTTGTAAATAAAACATGTATTCCTTAAAGTGTGCACAACGTATTTGATGCCTTTGTTAGCATTTGCTCGACTAAAACTTTACATAAAGCTAAATGCCATTATATACCCTTGTAGCATAAAAAGCGGTATAACGAATTGGTTTTTCCACGTAATTTAATTTTTTTCTAAAACGGAAAATATAAAAGGTGAAAATAACAAGTAGGGATCAGTCTCATTAATCCAGCAAAAAATCGTAAACAGGGCAAAAAATACGGACCCCTGGTTACACCTGAGATGGGGTTGTGTGTCTAGGAGGAGGAGGGTTTGTGTGTGTGTGGGGGGGGGGGGGGGGGTAAGCATTCTCTGACGTTGGACGTGACCTTGATTCCTCAAGTAACGAAGTAATGTGTATCAAAATGGTATAAAACAATGGCCTAACAATTTTTTAAAACAAATCAGGCAAAAATACGACCCACCAGGCTGTGTAGGCAAACAAGATCATAATAACGACCATAGAATGACTTAAAACGAGATTGTTGAAAATTATTTATAAAATTTAATGATCAGCCTTCCATATTTTTCATAAATGGAATATTAGAGACTAACTCGGAATTCGTCTAATATTTTACTCTTTGGAATCCCTTTTTGTGTGTAATTTCACAAGAGAAGAATTAATAGAGGAAACCTTGGGTCAAAACCCATGCTCGATAAAATGTTACATTTTGAACAATAAAATTATCAGAATTACACATCAGTCGTATTGTTAAAATAGATATTGGAATGAAATATATGGAGAAAACGAACAGTATCCAAGCTCAAAAGTCCATGAAACAATACAAAATAGGAGCAGAGCAAACACGGAACTCTAAACATCAGAGGTGGGATCAGGTGCCATGGAGGAGTGAGCATCCCCTGCCGACCGGTCACACCCGCCGTGTGCTCCTTGTCATGATCGGGAAATAACGGAAAAATCCGTCGACAATTCAGTGTATTAATAATGGCCTAACAATTAGTATGAAAAACGTAAGTCAGCATTTTACTCAATGATAAATTCTATTTGCTGACAAGGTCATTGTATCGACCATAGAACTTACGAAATGATGACTTTAAACGAGACTGCTGATATTCTTGTTTCATCAACTTGTTTGTCAATAATTTACCTCGTTTTAGAAATTGTACATACGTAGAACATGCTCTTACATATCGATTCAACTGAGAGATATATACCCCGTATGCAGGTAATGAAGGCATATTGCTGCATAAGTATGGGAAGTTGACGATTAAAAAGTTAAAGTCATCACGTTTATCATAAAGCTTGGTTGTTAGATTACCATTAACGTCTTTTTCAAGTAAAATATCCAAATATGAAACAGATGTGTCAGACTCTGTGGTATCTTTTGTCTCAAGCTCACCAGGATATATCGTATCGGCATAAGAATGGAAATAGCCATTGTAAATTGACAATACATCGTCGATATATCTAAATGTCGAGTTGAAGGCCACAGCAAATGTTTTCTTCTTTTCACGTATAAGATTTTGGACAAATTCTGCTTCATATGAATGCAAAAAAGGTCTGCTAATAACGGGGCGTAATTGGTACCCATAGGTATTCCAATAAATTGTTGGAAGACTTGGTCTCCAAAAACCACATAGATATTGTCAATCAGAAACTCAAGCATCTTTTTAATGTCAACTTCAGAGTACTTGTGTGTACACTCATAATGTTTTTTAACAAAATAATTTTGCAAATGACCAATGACAAGGTAAGTATATTTACGAGTTCCATTTTTATTGAAAAAGCAGCTGTCAATTATATCAAAAAGCCTGGACTTTAATTTATCGTAGAGAATGGTTGTGTATAAAGTAGAAAAGTTGTAAGTTTTTAAGCTGTTGATTTTGGTAAAATCTTGTGATTTCAAATTCTCCAAAAGTTCTTTGGAATTTTTAAGTATCAACATCTGATTTACACCACTTCTCGAATATACTGTTGCACAGTACTCTTGAGGTTTCTCCTTCACCACTGTTAATAACTTGGTGAGGAGTAAAGAAAGAGGCTTGGTTGAAATTTTAATGGAACCCGCTATGTATCTTTGTTTGTAAGGATTTTTATGAAGTTTATGAAGTTTCGGAATCATACTGTATATAAAATAGCACGACGTATTTCGTGACAAAGCCTCTATAGAATACAAAAAAAAATTTGTCTAAAAAATGGTTTGTACAGTCGTTAATTTAAGCTTTTAGCTATATCCTGAAAATAAAAATAAGCTATAGGCAGGAATTTTTCGATTAATAGCTCTTTACAATGATAATTTTGCTGGTTTTGAACACCTCTGAGCCAACTTTTTCGGCGAGGAAACAAAGAAAGAAAATTGCAATTTAATATAGCAGAATGTAGCATTTTAAAGCATTATACGAGGGCCGTTCAAAA